GTCAGGTGGCACTCGGAGCAGAAGCTGCTGAAGCGCTCCAAGCGCAGCCTGCACTTTAACGACCCCAAGTACCCCCAGCAGTGGCACCTGGTGAGTGGTTCCCTGGCTCTGCCCTGCCAGGGCTGTCCGTAGGGCTGCCCTGTGGGGACAGGGGTCCCTTGCTGTCCTTGTGGGGAGGGGGCAGCTCGCCCAGAGCTCAGCACGTGCTGGCTGTGGCAGCAGGAGGAGGCAGCCCCTGCAGGGTCAGGGGCAGGCGTGCCCAGCGCTGCAGCTCCCCACTCCCTGCCTCCAGGGGCTCTTCCTTGCTGTCTGTGTAACTCAGATCACAGTCACAGAGTAGTCAGGTTTGGAAGGGACCTCTAGAGATCATCTAGTGCAGCCCCCCCACAGAGCAGGGTCACCTGCAGTAGATCCCACAGGAACACGTCCAGTTGGATTTGGGATGTGTCCAGAGGAGACTCCACCACCTCTCTGGGCAGCCTGTCCCAGGGCTTTCTTACCTGTTATCTGTTAAAAAAAAGTTCCTCCCCTATGTTTAGCTTGAACCCCCTGTGCTCCAGTTGGTGCCCATTTCCCCTTGCCCTGTCACTGGACACTATGGAAAAGAGACTGGCCCCCTCCTGCTGACACCCCTGGAGATCCTGACCAGCACTGATGAGATTCCCCCTAAGGCTCCTCCTCTCCAGGCTCTCCCAGCCCTTCCTCACAGGAATTCTCCATTCCCCTCATCATGTTCGTGGCCCTGCCACTCCTCCCAGCCCAGGCAGTGTTCCCAGGAGCCCCTCTCCTCACAGCTGACCCCCTCCCTGCTTTTCCTCTCCCCTCACTGCCCTCCCTGGTGCTCAGAACAACCGCAAGAGCCCCGGGAAGGACATCAACGTCACCGGCGTCTGGGAGCGGAACGTGACGGGCAGCGGCGTCACCGTGGTGGTGGTGGATGATGGTGTGGAGCACACAGTCAAGGACATCCAGCCAAACTATGTGAGTGCTGCATCCCTTCCCTGGGAGATGCTGGTGAGCAGCTCCCTCTGACCCGCAGCAGCTGCTGAAGCTACCTCAGTTGGTCACTTTCACAGAATGCTCAGGGTGGGAAGGAAGCTCTGGAAATCATCCAGTCTAACCCCCCTGTCAGGGCAGGTTCACCCAGACCAGGTAGCACAGGGTGGCATCCAGCTGGGTTTGAAATGTCTTCAGAGTTGGAGACTCCATCACCTCTCCAGGCAGCCTGTCCCAGTGCTCTCCCTCAAAGTAAAGAAGTTCCACCTCATGTTCGGACAGAACTTCCTATGTTCACCATTGTGCCTGTGACCTCTTGTCCTGTCACTGGGCACCACTGGAAAAAGACTGATCCCTCCCTCCTGACACCCACCCTGTAAGAATTTATAAGCATTGATAGGATCCCCCCATCAGTCTTCTCCAGATTAAGAAGACCCAAGTCCCTCAGCCTCTCCTCCAGCAGCAGGTAGCAGTGTTGAGCTGCAGCTCTGTCTGGAGCAGCCTGGAAGTTCCCGTGGCTTCCAGGCTGTTTCAGCCCACCCTGCCTGCTCTGAACCCTGCTCTTCCCAAAGAGAGGAGAGCAGAGCCCCGCGTCACCACCGTGGGTCTGTTTTCAGAGCCCAGAAGGCAGCTATGACTTGAACTCCAACGACCCTGACCCTATGCCTCACCCTGACGAGGAGAACGGCAACCACCACGGGACGCGCTGCGCGGGGGAGATCGCGGCCGTGCCCAACAACAGCTTCTGCACCGTGGGAGTCGCCTACGGGAGCCGCATCGCGGGTACGTGGGGGCCGCGGCACCCGCCTGCTGCCCCGGGGCCTGGCTGCTCTCATCCCTGGCCTGAGGGGCCCGTGGGAGAGGGGCTGGGCTGAGGTGGCTCTAAGGCAGCCGTGCTTGGGCTGGTGGGTCTGTTGGAGGCTTTCCCAGCCCTTGGTCAGGCGAAGGTCTGGCTGCTCCTCCTCTGCCAGGCCAGGGAACATCCTGCAGTGTCCTCGGCTCCCTCCAGAGCTCTCACACTGCCTTGCAGAGGGAGGAGAGATCTCTGTGCAATGCAGGGTGTGTCCCTGGCAGAGCAGAGGGTGTTGGTGCCATGGGGTGGCCTGGGAGGCTGTAACCTCTGTGCATTCCCTGGCTGTGCTGTGGGGCTGGGGAGCGGGTGGGCCCTGGAGTGCCAGTAGGGTCCACCCTGGGTCACTCAGGTGGGACCTGGCACTTCTTGGGGCTTTGGCTCCTCAGAGCAGTGTCTGGCCTCGCAGGGGGACAGGGGACAGCCTGGGAGGTGTGGAGCCAGCAGAGGGGGCAGCCCATGCACCCCTCACTGTGCTGCTCCCCTCCTGGAGGGCTGGGATGTGGCAGTGAAAAGCTGTGTGCTGTGTCAGGCAAGAGCTGAGCTGCGTAGGTGGCTGTGCTGGCTGTAGATGGGCTCAGTGGAGCTGAGCACCTGCTTTCCGTTTGTAATGTCCTTTTCCAGCCTAAACTGTGATGTAAAATGGGAATTATCAGGGGTTGGGGATCACTGGAGGCTCAGCACAAGCTGTCAGTGGCTCTGGTAGAGGGGTGGCCTCGCCCTTCTGCTCTGAGCACAGCCACGGGGTGTCCCAAAGCCACTCCTGGTAGTTTGGGGACTAGGGAGGAGAGGCAATTGCTGCAGGCAGGAAAGTGGTGGGATGTGAAGAAGCCCCCAGGAGCAGGGCTCTGGGCAGAGTGCTCAGTTGTGCACAGGAGGGAGCCCAGCTGGTGTTTGGTTGTGCCATCTCTTGTCACCCAAGGTGGTTCTGGCAGTGGGACTGGTGGACTTGCTTGGCAGGAGAGCTATGTCCAGCATTTCCCTGGAGCTCCACATGAGGATGATGTCCCTCAGGCACACCCAGCCCTGCAGACTGATCTGCAGGGTTACAGCTTCAGGAGGTCTGGCTCAGTCAGGCTGGGAGAGCAGGTGTCCCCAGTGTGAACCCGCTGAGGAATTTGCCTGCAGTTCATGCACCTTCCTTTGATCCCCTCTGGTCACCTTAGTTGTCCTTTTTCCTGCAGGCATCCGTGTGCTGGATGGGCCCCTCACAGACAGCATGGAGGCCATTGCCTTCAACAAGCACTATCAGATCAACGACATCTACAGCTGCAGGTGAGCCCTGAGGGAATGCTGAGACAGTGTTTCTGTTCCTGGAGAGCTGGCACGGGTTGTGCACAGCACCCAGAGCCGTGAGGCGAGTTCTGCTGCAGCACATCCCACAGCCTGGCCAAGCTGAAGGGGCACTGTGCCCCCCGCTGTGGTCTGAGAGCTCCAGCTGAGCTGGAGCTGGGGGGACTGGAATGTGTGATGGCGATTGGAATGTGTGAGAAGCTGGTGGTTAAACAACAAAAAAAACATTTCATCCACTGGAATCTGACCCAGGGGCAAACACGGCAGCACTGTCCCAGCAGTGAGGGGCCAACCTGCCGGGTGGGAAAGTGCAGCATCATCCGGTCCCAGTTGTGGTGCTGGGAGTAACTGGTGGCTCCTGGTAGCAAACGGTGATGGGAGGAGGAGCTGCTGTCTGGGACTCCTGGGGCTGTCACTTCACAGTGTCTCTGTTTGCAGCTGGGGTCCAGATGATGATGGGAAAACCGTGGATGGCCCCCACCAACTGGGAAAGGTAAGAGCCCCCCAGCAGCACGGGTGACCCTGACTTCTGGCCTGCCTGGACAGGTGAGGAGGGATGTGCACATTTCGCTGCCAGCAGAGGGGTGACACATTGCCACGTGGTGGGAGAGGTGGCAGAGGTGACGTGGCTGTGGGAGGGCAGCGTTTGGGCAACATTAGATGAGCTGTCCACGGAGAAGCTGGTTCCAGCAGAAAAACACTCTTTTGCAACCTGTGATGTTATTCTGACACCTTTTGCAAGCCAAGGGATGCTCTCAGCTCAGGAGACTGGTTGTTCCCAGTGCTGAGGGTGGTTTTCAGGGCAAGGAACATGTCTTTGAAGTCACTGAGGGGCTTTGGCTGCTCCTTCCTGGGCTGTTAAGGTGTCTTTACAGTGTCTGTGCTGCAGAACTGCTGCAAAACAGCAGCCTGGCTCCTGCTGCTGAGGTACCACAGTGAGAGGTCACCCAGGGGACCTCAGAACAGGCAGTACATTGCTCCTGGCTGTGATTCTGCTTCATTTCTGCTTTGCTCAGCAGCCCTTTGCTGCACTTCTCTAATCACGGGGTAGCAGTTGCTGTGCTGTCTGCAGCAGGGCTGACAACTGGGCTATTGGTTCGTGGTGACCAGTGGTTTCCAGTTCTGCAGGTTATTTTTTTCTCTTCCTGTACATGGAAGCAGCTCTAAGGAGCCCTGGGACACAGGGCACAGCAAAGCTTTAGCACAGCAGCACATCTGGAGGGATCTCTGGCCAGGGCAGTGCATACCTTCACCTGCCCAGGGCAGGCAAGAGGAGGAGCTGGTTCCCAGCAGGCTTGCTCTCTTGCTTGCCCAGCAGACCCTCTCCCTAGGCAGGGATGTGTGTGCCAGGAGCTGACCTGGGCATGTGCCCCTCGGGCAGGGCTGTCTCCGTGTGTCCCAGCGTGTGGGGGGCAGGGCTGTGCCAGGAGCAGCCACGGCTCCTTCTCCACAGGCTGCCCTGCAGCACGGGGTCATCGCCGGCCGCAGGGGCTTCGGGAGCATCTTTGTGGTGGCCAGTGGCAACGGGGGGCAGCACAACGACAACTGCAACTACGACGGCTACGCCAACTCCATCTACACTGTCACCATAGGTGAGTGCCCATGTCTGCTCTCACCTTCCTTCCCGGCCTGGAAAAAAGGAGATCATCCCAAAAGCACAAAACCTGCCCAGCTGGCTGGAAAGCGTCTGTCCTCTGGTGGTGGATGTGGCAGCCTGCAGAGGTGTGCAGGGCTGCAGTTTTCTTTTGGCCTCCGGAGCAAGAGAGGCCATCTCTGGGGCTGACAGACACTGCTGTGTTGAGGGAGGGACCCAAAGCACAGTGTTCTCACCCTGTGTGTTAGAAAAGAAACATCTGATCCACTTTTTTGAGGGCAGAAGCTGCATGAGGGGTAGAAGTTCTGTCCAGCATTAAGCACGGTGGAAGGTTATTTCCTGTGGCTGCCTCTCCCAGAGCTCTTCCAGCCATGACAAATCCA